TGGTACACAGATTGATGTTTGTAAAATCAGACACCTTGCATACAATTTGGTCTGATATTTATGCTCATTCAACATGGCAGTTCACTAACAGGTTATCTTTAAATTTACAGTCTACCAAAAGTCTACTGCTGAACATAGATTGTCTTATGGGGGGATATTTGCCATTAATAACCAATTTTTTTATTTTTAGTTATTAGATGAACGATACTTCTTCCTTATCTTACACCCATATTTGTATGCTTTTGTACTTATTATACAAGTAATATTTTTTACCTTAAAAGACATTAGTATAAATAAAACGGGTTGGGTTTACAATTCGGTCGCCTCAATTTGAAGATTCTGTTACTGTGGGGGCGTCAAGGGAGTTTATCTGAAGCACCTACACGCGAGTTTTGCTACCGGAGCAGCATCGAAGTATTTTTATTTATTTTTTGAAAATATTGGTAAACAACTAATTAATTAAATATTCTCACGTTTTTGACGTTTTATCTGTCAATGTCATATCGATATATAGTACTAAATCGATCTAGTGAATCGATATTTCACCCTAGAGAATCAAGATCAAATCTTTTCTGTTTTGTTAAGATTTACAAAATTATTTATAATTAGTTGAAAGTACCCCAACTCGTAAAGAATGACAGTTTTTCAATTTAATCATTCAATGTTATCTGAAACTTTAAAGAACTTGGGCTTAGTGAAATATTGTTAATAATTCTAAAATAATTACTTCTTGTCTGATATGTGATGTATTATTTATTTCTATTTAAATAAGTAGTGCCACAAAAATATTATGAGGGGAAACAATTGCATGCTAATATTTATAATTTTAAAAGACATTAAAACTATTTAGTGTTAGAAAGATTGAAATAAATAGAACAATAATAAATATTATTAATATTTAGAGTAGACACTGTAAAACTATAGTTCATTTTGTTAGTTGATAAAAAATAACTTTTTTCAGGTGGATCGTTTAGAACGAGTATGCAGTCCTTGCTGGCTGAGGGCTTCCAGAGCTGTATGGAGACAGAGACAACAAAATGAGAACAGGGATATTGAGCTACAATCCATGAATATAGAAGACATCGGTAACATCCCACAACCACCCCCTATACCTGCACCTGTAACCCCTGCCATTTCCAGAGCGGCATCAACAATTACTATGGCTAATTATAAGCGTGCTGCTTCTACTTCCCGTCACTGTATTTTTAAGTCATGTAATCATTCATCTAGATTTTTAATACCTAAACTACTTAAAGAGAGATTGCTGATAGATCACTCATTTTATGTGCCACTGTGCGCTCGTATTTGTGAATACCATTTAAATGAACCCCACAATGATTGGAATAATTTATTCACGAGTAGTAACTGTTCAGATTTTACTGCATCTCAGATAGACAACCTTTGTTCCTTACTTAAAAGTAGTGTTACTCAAAATTATAATATTTTAAATATCATTGAACATAATTCAATATTATGCAAATATTGGTTAGGATTTACCAAATACCAATTTGAACAGTTACTAGTTGAAATTCCATCTATCAGTGAAAGAGTTAAATCACCTAAAAGAAGTCTAGCTATGTTCTTAGTGAAACTTCGTACAGGTGATAGCAATGAACGCATAGCTTCTCTATTTAATGTAGCTTCATCGACTGTGTTCAATCACTTAAATATTGTAAGTCAGTGCTTTGAAGAGCAATTCATCCAACTGCATTTAGGGACAAATACCTTATGCATTCAACAAGTTGCTCAATATAACTTGACAATACCAAATTGCTTGTTGTACGAGATATTGGATCCGAATTTATGCTCAGCCAAAGTAAACAACAATTGCAAAAAATAATTTAGCCTTATACCAGAAATGCAAACAATAGTTTAAATAGAGTATCGTACTAGTGCCATTTTAAGTGTGCTTTAATGGTTATATCAGCTTGATAGTTTTCATCCTCAACAGACATTCCAGATCTCTTATTCCTGTTCAACGATTAGTCCAGCGAACCATTTTAGAAATTAAACGATGTATTTATTCTTGATAGAGGTTTTAGGGATGCAATTCCATTCTGCAGCAATATAAGGCTTACATGCCTGAATCTAAACAAGTTGGTCGAAATACAATTATCAACCATTGCTGCCAACAAGTCCAGATGTAAAAAACTTTCAATTGAACTTGTATAATAGATTTAACAACGACATCAAATGTAATTAACACTAGGGCTGCTCTTACTGGGTACTGTTGCAACTGTTTGGTAGGCAGACGCACTGTTGGCTGCTGTGCACATGTCATGTCTGTTGTCTGGTTTCTATCTTGGGCACGGCATCGAGATGAGGTTGAACCACCTGCATCTTTTTTAGATGATATATTACTTTCAAGTAATGATATTGAAAATGATGAATGATGATTATTAATCTTAATGCGTATTAATATTGTAATATAAATGATCATTTTTGCTATAGTTGCTTCACTTGTGGCAACCAAAGTTTTTTGTGGTATTCTATAGGAAGATGCTGCTCCCCATCTCCTAGTATTTTTATTTTATTCTGTCGACTTTAACGACACCATACGGGACGGAACGTGATGGCAATTCATGGAAGGCCTCTGTAATATTTTACATTATATCTTTAATTTAGGAGCCATATGTTCGGCAGTGGACTGTTGTAATGATGATGAATAATGATGACTAAAAATTGTAATTTTTGTTGCTTATTTGAACTATTTCTATTTTACTGTGTGCTTTATTATCTGTTATATATTATGTTATATGTGTAATTTATAAATAAACGCCGAGCAAAGTTGAATTTATTGCTTTGGCACCCTTTTTTATCTCTTTTAATTGACAATATCCTTCTGATTTCTAATAATATCGTAAACGGGCGAGACATTATATTTTAATGATGTATGGGATTTATACTTGCTAATAGATGAATACTTTAATGAACAAAGGGCCGGCACTGCACCTGTCTGCTGTGTTATTTTTAAAAGAGGACTCATAAAACACTGACGATTTTAACCATAATTAATGCAGTGATTATACATGATCTTTGGGACTTATTACATATCAATATCGTATCATAAATAGAAATGTTACCATCAAGTTATTTTGAAAAAATCTTTTAATATGATCTTTTGATATGAAAACACGAAAAATGTTTCTACCTATGTCCGTTAGAAACCATCCAAGCGATTTTGATGATATGTTTATGTGTGTTTGAACGGGTCTCTATATGATTCATATTCACATATGGACTCGGTAGGTGGCGCTGTTGTCGAAATCCAGAAATCACCTGTGCGAAGTCGGGGCGGATCGCTAATAATAAATACAATTAAACTATACCTGTGTGTTTGTTATCCTGGCACAAACAGTTCAAAACATCTTACTTCCTCACAATTTATCAGTGTGTAATAACAGATAAGCATGATATTACCTAGTCATTTTGGTATTTTAGAACCCAGTCATTTTAAGATGTATAATTAGGTATTTAATAATCAACCAAAGCATATTAAAAAAAGTCTTGACACCGGGCCTGTCTGTCTGTCTGCATAAATAGATCTGAATTATATGTCTGAATTATATAGACTATGTTGGAAATGATGATTTACCATCTATAAATACGGTTGCATTATAACTTGTTTTTTACACAGTCAGTTTAAAACATCTTTCTTACTATATAACGTGTGTTGGTAATATTGTAAATATAAATGGATATATTATACCTTAGTCATCTTGAATTTATTCATATTATTTTAACGGTAATTGGGAAGTACACTCACAATCAATATATGTAAAAAATTGTATCCATACCACATTTGTACACAGACAGGCACTATATTTTGCCGTAACTACTAAAAATATTGAAGTACCTGAAAATGCTGAATGTACCTACAACTTGGTTTTATATGAACTATTATTCAACAGTGCACTATTTTAACTTAAAATACCGGTAAAAACCACTATAAATAGCTTTTAGTTTATTTATAGGTTATTTTAAAATTCATATTTTAATTGTCAATTTCTCGATTTTCCGTCTAGATGTGGTAAAACTAATATTACTTTTGTAAACTATAAATTATAAGGAATAAATCGACATCCATTTCATTGCGTGACGCGAAAATTTGTGGTGGGCCCATTCTCCATACAAAAATTGATTGTCTCCTTTGATGAAAGAAAATAACTTTTTTTTAATTCATTGAATTTACGTTCTATAAATGAAACGAAACCACTGGTTTCAAGGATAACGGTGTTTACACTAACATCCTGTATATATCAGATACCGCTGTAGTATTGCGTAACTTCAGAGAACATCTAACTTCGAACTCGAAGAAATAATATTATCGTGAAATATCTATGACATGATGCTTGGAATGCGAGATACTATCTTTTTTTTTGAAACGTTACACCCATACTAGAATTTTCTCCTCGTTATAATGCAATGTATCTATAAAGCTATGAAAAAAATCCATCAAATACTTCATATCACTGTGTAGTATACTGAATACTGACTTCCTTACAGAATTACAGAATCATTTATCACGCAGATATCCATAGATATCAGCTGATACATAGATATTGAAATATATAGATTCAGTATCTGATATTTAAATCTAATACATAGATACGATTTAATATAGGGTAAGAGTGGTATTAATCATGCCCATTACACTTATGACGTGAATACGTCTTTAAGTTTGCTTCCATACTAGGAGGCAATTCAGAAAACTAATGTTAACAAAATCGGAGGATACAGTTTGCAAAATTTAATTATACCACTCGGTAGCTAAAGAATCGAAGAATTTGTTATGTTGTGCGCGGACTGTGATGCATCCATCGCGCGAGGCGAAGAGGGAGCGCCGCCATTTTATTTACGTGAATACGTGTACGTAACGTAAATTTTATTAACGTTACGTACACGTATTCACGTAAAACACATGGCCATACTCACAACGCAGCCAATTTTTTTAGCAAAAACCTAGTTTAGTTAGAAATCATTAATGTTGATATTTAAAGGTCCTATTAAAAATGTTAGCAAATGCTATGATGAAATTCGGTGTAGTGAGTAAACTTTTATTGCAGAAGGATGGCAGTGAACTACCGGTGGGTCGACATTCACTCGATGACGGTAATCTTACGATCATTGATATTGAGGAAGAAGACCGTGGCGTGTACGTGTGCACGGCTACCAACGAGGCGGACGAGGTCTCTGTCGAGACCGAGTTGCTCATTGAGAACGTGCCGCCACGCGCCCCCTATAACCTAACGGCGCTACCTTCCGTTGATGCAATACACGTGTCGTGGGTTCCAGGTTTGAATTTTTCTTATTCAGCATGTATTTCAAGCGTGGAGAACGACTCAGTCAGTTCTTTTATGTTTTAGGTCACAATGGTCTCGAGGTCGATTACAATGTTTGGTATCGCGAGCGTTCTGATAGTGAATGGCGCACTATGAAGATTCTGACAAAGGGTGTTACCGATGCGACGCTAGTGGGCTTGCGACCTTCCACAGAATACGAGTTACGAATATTGTCCCAGGATCACATAGGCGACGGCCTCTTTAGCAAGCCGATCTTCGTTCGAACGCTTGGTACTACGCACTGTAATATGAGATTACGCAGCTTAACTAGATTTCTGAAAGAGGTTTTCTTGAAATATTGTGAATGTTATCATTCATTTCACAGATCCAGAGGGAGGTGAAGAACAAGGCACGGCGTACGCGGCTGCGGCAACGGATAGCACCGTGACTGCAGACGCCGAGGAGGTGATGGAAGTGACCGTGCGTCTCATCGACGAGGGCGCGCTGGTGCGCTGGAGCCGCGCGCCACTGGACGATAGCCGCTGCACCGTGCGCTGGTACCGCGGGGACGCGCGCGAGCTGCTCGCTAGCTGGCACACGCACCACGACTACCTGCTGGGTAACATTGTAAAGCTTCACGTGATTAATTTGTTGGGCAGAGGACTAATTGTACGATGCGAGCGCACAAACAATCTATTACAGCCTTAAACGTTCATTGTTGAACATACTCGTGGGCCTCCTCCTTATATTGCCTAAAAGAGACGATTTTGACATAGTTTTCGCGCTTGGTAAGGGCAGTGTTTTATAATTTTAAGTTGATATCAGGAATAATGAGTTCTTATATTTTCATGAACATTAAACATTGAATAAAACTACTTATAGACAGTTTATCACGTTTGATTAATTTATTAATAATTCCCGAAGTTTCGGGTGCTTTACAGCACCCGTAGTCACGGGTAGGACTGAGATGTATGCGTCCCAATGTCATAGTTAGCTCGGCTACCTTCAGGTTTTTGAATATTGATTTTTGGTCGGATCTACATAGAACGAGCTTACAGTATCTTGAAGTCTTGCAGTGATATGCTTGGGTTTGCATTCAATTTTGTTAATTGTAGGATCTCAAGCAAATGGCAGCACCCATCCTCCTCTCGATTAAAATTAGAATGTTCTTTTTTAATTTCAATAGCCTCGAGTATCGTCACTGATAGGAATCGGTGTTCTTTTGAGAGGATTTGTGGTTTATCAAATCTGATGTAATCGTGGGATGATCTTGAACATGTTCACAGACTGCAGATTTTCTAGAACGTCGGTGCTTCACATAAGCTATAGTGTATGGGTACACCACACATTTTTATTTAGTAAACGTTGCAACCTACTTTAGCCGGGCGTCGCGTGTATTTAAATTTACCTATTTAATTGCAAGCTGACGATCGGCAGTACGTCAACAACCGTCCTTCTGAACACCAACTATTCAAGGAAAGATTTGCCACTCTAACTTTATTAACTATGTTACTTTTAATATTAAACTTTTAACTTTGGTGATCTTTTCCTTTTGACGTGCTCATCAACTAACTACAACTCTAATTCTTAAAAATGCGTGGCCTTACAAACCATACATTTTATGGTCCTTCGAGCCGGATTGAACCAGCGACCTATGGATACGTTGACATTCTTCCACGCGGGTTTTTATAGATTTTTTGTTTGTACTATGTAAGAGAGACCTCATTCACAATCTAGCTTATACACTCCTGCATCTTGTAGAGGAATATTACACTTGATGGATGGTAAAATTGACTAATCTTCTTCGGAGGCTTGTAGTGTGTTTTAATGGAAGTTCTCTTCAAGATTGTTGACTTCAAGATTGTTAATCAAACTTGTCTGTGACTCTTCTGACATACGCTAGTACAGCAGGCACACGCTCGACTGTGGCTGACTTCACTTGATCACTGTGACGTAGGCGCGCGATTCGAAGTTTGTTGTCTTGCAATACTTGCTTGACGTGTAGAAGTTCGGCAGCCAAATTTTTTCTGTCACAGATCCTTTGTGCTCTCTGAAACAAATATTTACCCATGGTAGCTAACTGTGATGAATGATGGTGAGATTCATCATTTAAATATCTGTTGGTATGTGTCTTTTTTCTATACAGAGTGTGACTAATAGTGTTATCAGGATTTTGGACGACTAAACAACTACAAAATCTGAAGAATTAGTTGTCTGTAACTCCATTGTGCATTGTAATTTAGAGTTTATGAAATTAAAGTGGTCAAAAATGCAGTTTAGTTACTTTATCAGACGGTAAAATTGTGAAAGTGTCTTTTCTTCTTATTTCACGTATGTTTTTTCCTCTAATTGTATAATTTACGGAACATACCATAATATAAATAAATGCGCGGATAAACGAAATGCTGCAGTAATAATGTGTGGGAATGTAATTTTAAAATAAAACAACTTTTATCGGACAAAAGAACATACAATAAGGTCTAAATAAACCCTACAACTAATACGCTTAAAACAACTAGTGATTTAATAAAAAAATACTCCAAAAATTACATTTCAACGTGAATTCGATAATATTATCTTGTGTCAAACCAGCGAGGGTGTACGGGTTACCGAAAATACATAAACAAAACGTTCCACTACGTAACATAGTGAACCAGATCGATTCATCGAAGTGTTAGTTGGCTCAACGCTAGGAAAAAATACTGTCACCGCTGAGAGGACATACCAGAACATACACAAATGATTCAAATCACCTTGTTAGTGGGATAAAAGACCTACATCTCGCTGTCAATGAAACCATGGTCAGTTTTGATGTTCAATCTACATCATTAACATGGTATATTGATGACTGCATCTCAATTGTAATCAGTAAGCTAGAAGAAAACAACAAGAATTTTGTGAAATAGTGATCCACAAAAAGTATCGATACCTAAGTAATATCAATACTTTCCTTTCAGTATCAAGTATTTAAGTACTTGATACTTTATTTTAACGTTACTTAGTAAGTATCGATACTTTTTGAAGTATTCGATACAATACGATTTATCAAAAACCGGCTGTGGTCATTAACCGTATAACTTATTCACATCACATTGCTAGTTTTTAGCAAGAATTTTTTCGTTTGAAAAAGAGTTTTGTCCTTGTTCCGAGGAATTCCCAGTCAATAAACTACCTGGTGCAATGTGAAAATAATATATAGCAATCTTTTACGATTTCATACATTTTAATAACTTTTTGCTATTATTATAAGTTTCGTAATAATAAGTAAGAGTAAGTATCGAGGATGGATGAGGAGCAACACGAAGAAAGAAAAGGTGATATGTACTTGCTATACCTTGCGAATCCAGTTCCTCATCTAAAATGTAACATCTCCCAGTAGTGGGAAAATATATATTTCTAAAACTGATTTAAAATGTTGAAATAAATTAAATTTAAGAAATCATTATGATTTAAAATGAGCATTTGATAAAAGATAAATATCACCTGCATACAACGTTCTAGGATTTTAAACGACGATTGGCAGATGGTTTATATATGCAAGAAATAAATATGACCCAAGAATAGACCCCTATGGTAGGCGTATTTGTTCAACAGAACCAAGTAGAACTTACGCCATTTATCTGAACCTGACTATTGGACTCCAACAAACGAGGAGCGTGTTCTTTTATGTCGTAATATTTTAGTTTACAATATGTTGTGGGATTTATACAGTCAAATGCTTTTATTAGATAAATCAAAGAATACTCCAATCGCATTCTGTGATTCCTTTAAGCACTTTAAATGTGTTGCATTAAGCATCAGTTATTCTTTAAATATAAACAATATAAAATCATACGGATGATTTTTATGATGATATTATACATTAAATAAAACTAATTTTATCGATTTTATCGCGTTTAATTTTAATTTTTGTATGCTTTAAAAGGTCTTAAACTGCCGAAGCCATTAGAGGCCTTGAGTTTTAACCTCAGGTCAACTAAACACTAAAGAGAGATTCCTTTACTGTATTGTTCATTCAATCAGGAAATATGTCTTTATTAATACAACATGTATTTAAAATGACAGAAAATAAATTATAAAATTTAAATCCTTCGGAGAAATACTCAATAAATCTTTAATCTTTTTAATATTTAATGATCTAAGTATAAACTTTTTGTACATACAACATTAACATTGTCAGCTAATATTGACACGCAAATTAAGTGAAAGAATTAATAGCCCCTGTGGACTTATATGGTATATAAGAAAAAAATTCAAACCCCACAACTTCTTTTTTGGGATTCAACTCATCCATGATCAGTACGTAATACACATTTATTAGAATTCATATTTACTTTGATCATTTTTTTGTTTGCTTTAATGTTAATATCAGCAGATTGGTTTTTACGAATAATAAATTTGATTTAGTCAACCGACATATCATTCTAAATGTTTTTTGCATGTTTTTAACATATTTTTTCAATTGTGTTGAATGTAGGTATTTCTTTCTTTCTTATAATTTCACGAATTCCAAAAGTAGCCCATTCGTTAAACTTTAAATTACTACCTGAAATACAAACATCTACAGATATTTAATACTGTGTTTATTTAATTAAGAACGTTGCACCGCTTTTGCATTTGGGTCAAGCAGTTTGTTACAATACAGTTTTTGGCATGCGATGAATAACTCGTAGCGCGCGAAAGGCTCTGATAGATATAATGTGTGACTGCCTAGTCGGTCTAGTGGTCGCGAACGAAATTGCTGACTTAGAAGTCCTAGGTTCGAATCCTGTGCTGGGCCACAATCAGTTATTGGGTTTTTTGTGTCAAGTAATTCTCAATAGAAGCCCGGTGTCACGAAAGTTTGCGGTGTTTCAACCTTGTGTCTCAGCAAGCGCGTTAAGTCGTTGGTGTTGCGCCTGGTCTCTCTCCGGTTGGATTACCGTCCCATCGTATTATTAGATTGAGAGAATAGAGAGTACACCTAGGCTTGCGCATACACTTTGGCAATATAATCCTGTCCTGCGCGCATGACTAGTCTCGGTTGAGAGAGTTTATTGTCGTTATTGTTATTGTTATTAAGAGGATGTTGTTTGTATTTTGATGAGTCAAAATGTGTCAAAAGGCACGTATGGCAATTCACACATGGAGTACCTACCCTTAACCGACGAGCATGTATGCGTAGGTATATGGACGTGAAGGAGGCGAGAGAGGTGTGTCAGGATCGTGCCAAATAGAAGTCTGTAGTCTCTGCCTACCCCTCTGGGTGACGAGTGTGTGTGTTTATGTTTTTTATGTAATGTTGTTTGTGCAGTGGGCTCGGTGGAGGAGGGCGCGGAGTACGAGGCGCGCGTGCAGTGCGTGAGCGGGGTACGGGGCGGCACGGTGGTGCGCGTGCCGCAGTACGCGCGCCTGCGCGGCGTGGCGGCGGGCGCGGCGGCCGCGGCGCTGCTGCTGGCCGCGCTCGCGGCCGCGCTGTGGCTCGCGCGCCGCCGCCTGCCCCGCTGCGGGCGCCGCCGCACACGCCCGCACTCGCACCAACACACGCGCCAACACGCCCTCCCCGTCAAGCGCCCGCACTGACTGATATCCCACGCGCACGTCACCAACCTTGAACGCTGGACACTTATCTAATTATTATCTTAACCGTTAAAGTAATATATACTACGTACTAGAACAGACACCACTAGAACTAGAACGAACTCACCCGTGCGGCAGTGCGGAGCACGTGTTGCAAGCGACCACGTCTCGGCGTCTCTTCTAGTACGTAAGACATATTTCTTTAATGATTTCAACCGACTACACGATTACATGTTGTAATAGAAAAATATGGTGCTTAGTATGTCGCAGTGCAATGCTTAAATCGGGCGATTAATTAGGCTGATAAGCCATTAAGGTGATACCTCGAAAATTTGGTTGTTTTTCTATTTGGCGTATTTTTTAGGTTTTATAGATTACCAATCTCATTTTTGGTATATGATTTTTGACTTTATGACCTTGGATTTCATAAAAGGAAAACGATAACATGTAATTATCTAGATAGAAAAAAATTGCAAAGTAGCCTCTAATTAGTTTCATTTTTCCACGGCACCACGATAATTTTACGAATAAGTTCATGGAATTATTTTTAAGGCATAGTAAATAATCCTATATAAGTTATCATAAACCATTTTTTAATCCATAACAAAGTTTTGTTACTAAAAATAAAAGTGTTGTTTGCCTCTTCGATCAGTTATAGTACTAGATTAAGGTCAGGAACAAAAATAAGTCGCTAAAGTGGACACGTTTTCACACACGTAAACATCTATATATCTTATAAAAAAGTTTAATAATATTAACAAATTCAGTTTATTATAAACCTTAAAACTCTAATTTAAAGTTTAATTGCCATTGCAAAATATACTTATTTAAGTCCTTTCATTGGAGAGAGGTCAAAAGCAACAAATTTAAAATGTCGCTTGAAAATAAAAAGTCATAGATACAAAAATATTTATTCTAATTTACAATTTAATTACATTTAAATGCTGGGAACACAGTAAGTATTGAAAGATGTAGAATTGCAGAACATAAATTTTTTAGGATAAGGTTCGTTTTGTATGGTGGCAAATATTTTTGACCGATTTGAAAAAGGGTCTCTTACGATTTTTTATATTTTTAATGTACATTCCATTAAATAGTTCTGTAACTTAAACATTTTTTGTCCAATCAAAAAATATTGAGTCATCAATCGATTGTTTCTTTTAAAGCAAATTAATTATGGTTTTTACAGAAATAATTTCTTAGTTAGTATCTTACGTTTTGTAAACGATGGATTTTTTTAGATTTACTTTCTATAATTCTACGACATATCGTCAATTTCTTATTCAAATACCCATTTTTAGGAGTGTCACGTATAGATGTTAAATCTGATAATGATGCATCAGGAGACTTAAAGTAAACAGCATCAGCTCGAGGCACGTATTTCTGTGGTATCTTCAAAAGTTAAAGTTGTTGAAGACTGGGCATATAAAGAAACATACGCGATTTATTGAAAGCAGTTTTAAAACATTCCATGAAAATACTTCCAGGTATAGTTTTCTTCTGATAAAGATTTTTTTAATTAACTAATTTGATAATTCTTTCGTCAATTCTGAACGTATAGCTGATTGCACTTTTATTGTTCCGTAAATCTAAAAAAGTCACAATCAACATACAATTTTATCAAAAGCACACACACACTAACTATTTTAATACTTTATGACAATAAGCTACAATTTGGGAACCGCTGTTTTTTGTAATCTACGCCTTTCTGTGTTTCCAGTTATGTCCAATCCATCAAAATGAATCGAACATATTCTCGAATTTTTAGAAGGGTTGTATATTTCTTCCCCTTTTTCTTTCTCAATAATAAATACCCATTCTGCGCAGCGAAATGGGTCGCTAGGAAATCTACAAACAAAAATAAAATATAATATACCAACGTGACTCCATACATTCTCTGTTCAAGAACAGTCGTTGTTTGTCACAATAGTTGTTGCGTTGTAGCAAACATTGGACAAACTAATAATAATATTAGCTAAATTAATTATTTTTACTAATTAATTCTGTGTTTATTTTATAAAAAAACATTTAATGATATAAACCTACCGAAAAAAATTTATTTCTTCTAAAATCTTCGTTTTTGAACGCGCACTGCGGCATTTCGAAGTTTTAACGTTGGCTGTAATTGGAGCATCCTAATTTGAAATAAGACCACAAAAGTATTTGCGGTCTTATTTTTCGGGATGTTTTTGAAGCGCTTATCGGGAATCTAGTACTATTATTGATCGAAGGTTTTCTTACTTAGTTTTTTTCCGAGCGCGTGCTTGGTATAGCTATTTCATAACTTGCGTATTATGAAGTCATTGCATCACCTTTATTTTTACAGTTGCTCAGTCGTCTGTGAGCTTCACCGACAAAGGGATAAGCCACGCCCTCAAAACAACGATTCATTTTCAAGGTATCCTCTTAACGACAGCATTTAATGAGGGCGTCCACGACTTTTTCTGCCACCAGGATGGCGCCGCTTAGGAATAAGGTGAAATATTTTACAAACATAGCGGCGGAAGAAAAGTATAGAAATTATATAACTTTCTGAAATATGAGATATATTCTATGAATTAAATTAGAAATGGATAAACCATACGACCACTATTCCTAAAACGAGATGAATTAAATAGCTAATATGTGTAAAAAAAGCACGGAGCATTGTTTTTTTTTAAAGAATATTAACAATGCTATAAACATTACTAATATTCCCCTTAACTACTCGTGGTAAGCTTAAATTGCTTGTGTTACGAGTGGTTCACGCCAGTAGTCGAATGGTGGATTCGAACCCACGACCTTTTTGAGTTCGCGGTCCGCGCCCTGCCATTAGGCTACTGTCGGTTTTAAACTGTTTTGTTTATATTTATACACTAGAAACCAAAAAACTTTTAATAAAATCACAACTTTGCAATATTGACGTGACGGCACTGTGTGCACATCTGTGTAACACATGAGTTCACCACAACTAGCGACATCTGGTGCGCGTGAGATCGTCAGCCCTCATCGAGTGTAGAGCCTTTTAACAAACACCAAAAGTTAACAGTGCAGAAATGGTCGAATTGAAAGTCGACTAGACGTTAAATTTAGTTTAGTTGCGCTAAAAGTCATTTTATAAGAAATTTGATGGCATTACAAGGCATTTCGATGTCATCAACGGTTAATATACCTGTAAAATCATAGTGCCCACTGACATATTTAAAAGTTAAGATTAATTTTAGAGTGAAAGTAGTGTACGACAGTAGTGTCCGATGTACGAGGTGGATATTTAAAATATTTGTAAATATAGATTTATAACAAAGTAATATAAATATTTGATATAAAAATTTTATGCGTGGTAGGACCGGGGAAGGACAACGCTCTCATAGAATACCAGCGTAAGCTAGCACCTTAACACTGCTGTGTCGCATGGTGAGGTGAGAGAGGTGAGCAGAGATCCGAAGATCCGATTTTTACTTTTAGAGACATTTGAGAATAAGTGTAGATGTCTATGGGCCACAGCATCCACTTACCTTCAGGTGGACTGTGTGATCGTTATAAATATATTAGTATAGTAATATAGTTTGTTACAGTGGATAGACAATTAATATCTTTAAGTTAATATAAATAATCAACCAAAAAGGTATCAATTTTTGAACATTAACTTATGTGTTTATAGTAGAGATAGAGTAAGAATGTTCCACAATTCTAAGATGGTTGAAGCAGAGTGAAAGAAGGATAGCGAATGAGAGAGAGAGAGAGAGACAGCTTGAGAAAGATGAGAATGAAAAAGTGTAACTTCTTTTTATTATAATTTTTACATTAATGGACCGGGTTCTTCTAGATTTATTTAAGTGTTATAATTTATTATGTAATGTAATTGTAAATGTGTAATTTTTTCAACAAAAAGTGTAATTTTTACTCTAGTTATATAATTTTGTTATACTGTACTGGCATAAAATTTATCATTATAACATGGGCTTAATACTTTATTATTTTTAATAATAAATAAATAAAAATTCATGTAGTCTCATTTCATTTTTTTAAATCATTTTATCCGTTTTCAATAAATAATACTAGCACATTGAATGATTAAGGGCCTATACTACCTCAACTGGCTTAGCAAGATCATTTGTTATGCCGAAAATACTACAGCATTGTTTTTGAAATAAATATATGGTGAAGTTGAGGATTAACGTTAAGTACTGTGTTTGACGAAAGCATGATTCCATAAAATTTTCTAGATAGAAAATAAATCCAAAGTTAGCTCCAAACCGAACTACAAACCGCTGGTATTGAAAAAAATACTTCAAATTAGATCACGTAACTTTGCATACTAATTGAACTAACTTAATAATAATAAATTAATGCGTCTACAACTTGAGATCAGCTTGTGCTGGGGTGAATAGTTTGATAATTATGTAGCCACGTGTAGGTAGAAAGAAGATACTCATGAATTTACCGGAATATTCTCTTTATCACCATCGTCTTTAGTACCCTCACACTAGGATTTTCTCCTGTATCATGGAGGCAGTTTACAAATAAAAAGTGCACAAGGACAAACATATAGTGCCGGAACAATTATTTGTAGGTCATACAAATACCTGTTCCATGCGGGATTCGAGCCCACGGACTCCAGCGCAGCAACTCATTGCTAAGCCAGTGCACCACGGAGTAACGATAACGTAAGGACGGATAAGTAAGTGTAGTTAGATAGAACGGTACTTACTGAACACACTTATATTTTTTTATTACTAACTGAGTGCTTGGCTTCTGCACTACGGGACGAGGGTTCGATTCACATATGGAACAAAATATTTTTATAGCCTACAGATTGTAGTGAAAGGGGAATGGCAGGCTTGTTGGGATATTTTTGGTTTTAATTGGTAGATAGTAGGATAGACAAACCTCTTTTAAATTCTTAGATTTTCAGAACTTGGGAGATAAAAGTTATAACCAGTTTTAATTTTTAAGATTAGCTACATAGACCATAGACTAATATATAATATTATGAACTATAGTTTATAAAAGATAGCTTGATC